ATTTCCCCCCATGCAATCCCTCCAAATTAGCTATAGTTGTTTCCATTTTCTTTAACAGTATCCCACTATAGCCCAATAAAGCACCACTATTACCCTTCCAAAAAAAGGCTCGCAACTGTTGGAAGCCCCTTTTGGGGAGGCTGGACTGAGTTATTCAATTCGCATCCACATGTGGTGGACTCTTTAAATAGGGGGGATCCCAATATAGACCTCAAAATATCATAATCCCTCATTATGGGGACCCCTAATAAGGTACCCCTAATTTTGGGGATCCCTAAACTCTAAACCTATATAACCCTCATATATCCCGCATATCCCCCTTTAAAGGTACCCCCATAATTTTGCTCAACCAATAGCCTTGGAGGTGACTCGAACCCCAAACGCCACTTGAACCATAGTCGAAACTCATTAAAGGGGGTTAAACAGGTGATTGTATAGGGGAGTACTAAAGGGGATACTAGGGGTTTAGACTATAGACTATATCCCACTTGAAGTTTTAGGGGTAGGTATAAGTTGGGTTATATGCAGGCGAACCACGAACACGTCCTAAATTTGAGGACTCATAGCCTCGAAGTACCGGCCTTACTGCCTGAGCCTTCACAAAGGGTGCAAATGATCTCAAACACAATAATCCTCACTACAGCCAAGGGCTCCCAAAAGGGAGTCCAATTTTTGGGAAATTCCAAAACCCACATAATCCCCAGGTATCCCCAGACCCTTAAACAACCCACATACATATATGTATATATCATATACATATCTTTCTCTCACTCTCCCCTACAAACCCGCTCAAAGGGGCCCAACCACAACAAGTGTATTGGACACCTAGGCGAAGGACTTCCTCGGACAATTTGCCCGTCTACGTAGTGCCTTGGAGTCGAACACCCTTGCAAGGGGCCTAAGGTGTATGAGCTATAATCCTCCCCCCTTAATAATGGAGAGTCAAGTGGAAAAGAAAATGGAAAATGAAATGGAAACTGGCATTATATAGGGGATTATGGGGGTTATAGTCTAAACTCCTAGTATCCACCTTAAAATCCCCTCTACTACTCCCCTATATAACCCCCT